AAAAACCTCGGGGCGCGAACACTGCATATTACTCACTCGTTACTCACTCCAAGTCGTGGTAAATCGCTTTTAGAGTCCGATATTACTTCTAATCAATAATTGTATTGGAGATAAATAGACAGACGCACAGACGGCTAGGAATGTCTGGTCTCAGTAGAATAACACATCTTTAACAAAGCTACATTAACCCCCAACTCCCCATCATATCTGGAAATAGAAGCAATGATTTTTGTGAAATTTCTAGAACATAGTATACCATGTTTATCACGTAAAGTTATAAGAATACATGGTTTCCTACTAACGATTCGCCTTTTATGATGTCTTTATATGTTTTTTCTTGTTGTTGTAGATGTTGACGGTTTGTAGTACGAAAGACACTCACAAGAAAATAATTGCATCCTAATCGTAAATCTGTGAATCTGACACCGTTCCAGAAATTATTGACTCTGTGACCTCAGTTCAGATAGGATGGCAAAGAAAAATAGCCAATGTCAGTTAATAGANGCTCGGTAAACTTCATCAAATTCGTCGTTTTGCTGTACGGTGAAGTAATTTTTCCAGTCGCCCACTTTCCCTTTGCGATAAAAGTGGGACACGGAGTAGTCAAAACCCTCATATTTTGAAAAAATGGTGGCTGGATTTTGTTTCATACTTCCAAAAGAAGTACGTCTGACTATTTCCTCAGCTACTTTCTCATTTAAAGATTTCCCAAGAAAGTTGGCAATCTTACGAACTACCCCAGCATGATCTTTAACCATATCTTCGTAGTGGAGAAACAAAACGTCTTTGTTATCTTTATATTCCCCTCCAAAACTGAAGTACGTGATCGAACCATGATCCATGGGATACATTTCCCGCCATAAACATCTCGTAGAACTGAGACCACGTGCCTGGAAATCGGCCAAGGCTTGCATCCATACGGTAGAAATGGTAGTAGGAGACGGCGACATCCTTAGGGTTTCTTAACACGTGTATCATCTTTGAGCGCTTCTCTCGCATTTGCTCAGGTAGCTGGTGCGCAGCCACGTGTGTTTTGAAAACACGAGGTCGCGGGACTTCGCCCAACTCCCGTATTCTTGCGTTATCAATCTTGCCGAGTTCTAACCATGGTGTTCGTAGGAGGCTGTCCGTCTCTTCGTTTTCAAAATAGTTGTCGTAGTGTAAGATGAGGTAAACCAACTCCAGGGTCCATGTCTGACCTGTAGACACCCAAATGTCTATATATAAAATTTAATATCAGATAAACTGATAGCTTTGTGCACCAAAGGCGTGTTTAAAACAAATATTGTTACAGGTGCCCCTCCCCAACCTCCCGACGGACTTTGGACAGGCCATTGGTTAATTAGGAATAGGCTCTTTTGTATGTTATGTTTTAATTTTTTCTATAGTAGCTGGGAAGTGAATTTTCAATAAAAGTGCATCTACAGGTATCAGTAATACATGGTGAAAATGTCAATTACAGCAGGTGCCATTCTCATGTATCAAATGTCTTCACTCCTATTATGTTGACATAGTCGTAATGGAAACCTTAATATTGTTCAGAAGTTTGTACCATGAATGCAAGAAAAGAGTGCAATTTTCAATGGCAATGCTTTGACAAATAGGTTATGCAGTTTCTCTTCACCCACCTGATTTGGGATATGCTGAAACCACGTAGTCATCCTCAAACATGTCGAACGTTTTCACCATTTCTATACTCTCTCTAGGCGAGTATCCACCCAGGAGTACACCATCCAGGTAGTGTTGGCCGGGAATTGTAAAGCTTTTCACATCGAAATCGGACATTTTCTCAGTGAATTAAGCCTCAACTGTTTAGTCCGTATTCAGATTTATCGAACTGATTTTTTTTAATTATGACAAAAAGGACATGGTCCGACTGGGCAGCGGACTCAGGACATTCGCGTTACTAATTGACTGAGCTATCCGGCATAATAATAAATAGTAATAAATTTATTTTAAGTCTAAAATCCATTTAAAATGTTTAGTAGACTTTACATAAAATATCGTAAATAATACTACATAAAATATCATAAATAAAATCTAGGTAAAACAGCCATTATTCCATACAATTAAATGCAATCAATACAAGATTTATAAAACCAATTAAGAGTTAATCAAAATATTTCCTAAAAAGGTATGTTTTGAGTTCTTTTTTAAAATGTTTGGTAAACTGAATTGCTCGGATTTTCAGCGGTAATAAATTCCATTCCTCATGACCTGCGCCTGCAGCTGTATTTGTTTCAGTCGGTCGCTCAAGCCCCCGCCCCCCGCCCCCAGTGGACTCAGGACATTCGCAGCTGTATTTGTTCCAGTCGGTCGCTCAAACCCCCCCTCCCCCCCCTGTGAATTTCTTAGATGAAATGATAAAATTTCCAAGATGAATTTAAAGAAAATCGAAACCCTC